ACAGTTACACTGCATACCACAGAAAAACAAAACCACTATGCTGTCACTGGAGTGGGTCATGCAAGACCATAACATTGCCAGAGCCAGGAACGTGCCTGGCATCTTTCATTCTAGCTCAATAAAACCTAATGCATTCTTGCTTGGGTGAAGGCCACCTTGGTTGTGACCACTGTATAAGTCCACTCCCTGGGAATGAAGTTGCAGGGATCTACTGGTCATTGCTTCCCTTGACCAAGAATTTTTCCAAAATTCACCATTTTTCCTCAAATCTTCAATTCTAATTTTCTATGAAACTTGTTGGACTCTTGATATCTTCCATTTATGGCTGAGATTTCTTTTCTTTTTTAAGAATTTTTAAAAAATTTAGTTGTAGTTGGACACAATACATTTTTTATTTTTATGTGGTGCTGAGGATCAAACTAAGTGCCTTGCACATGCTAGGCGAGCGCTCTACTGTTGAGCCACAGCCCCAAACCCATGGCTAATAGTTCTTTATGTAGGATACCCCTAGAACACCCAGGATAGACTAATAAGTAAATGAAGAGCTATGCCTCAAGAGAACCAGTGAAGGTCAGAGCAGGCAGTTGTACCCTGAAATGCACACACACCAATGGGAAATAAAAAATATTTAAGTAAATGAATCATGATCACTCCCAAAAAACTAATAAGGTTGCAATCATTGATACTAAGGAAATAAAACACTAGATCATGGCTGAAAAAGAATTCAGAATAATGTTCAGAAAAGTCAGCGAACTACAAAGACACATGGGTAGAACTTTTCAGAAAATTTGGGAAACACATAAATAAAATAAGAAGTAGAAAAAATTTAACGTTTAAAAAAAAACAGAATTCCAACAAGATGTCCTACACAATGAAAACTAAGAGAAAGTAGAGATAGCTATAAGTTTATCAAGCAAAATTGACTTTAAGCGAATAATTGTACAGCAGACTCAAGATGGCCGAACAGTGAGACCAGCACTAGTTTGCTCCTCTACAGAAGTGCAATTAACAGACACCCCTCTGCATGGAGGAATTAGAGGTCTTCTATGATGCCAGACTCTTGATATCACCATTATTGCCAGAGAGACTTGACACCATGTTCCCAAACACAGCTAACAAGGATACAGGAACATACATACAAAATCCCACTATCATCAATGTTTCCTTCTCACAAAATCAATGCTGTTAAGATTATGACACCTATTCTTCAGCAATACAAATATTGAATCTTTTCCCAAGGGACATCTGCCAATTTTAAACACACACTCCATAGCTCTATGGATGAAAATTTTTACASTTATACCTGTGCTCTACCCAGGCTCTTAACCAAAGGGCCCTCTGTGATCTTAATTCTTCTTTGAGAATTGTGCTTACTGTATGTTTATATTTATAAATGTATATAGTCGTCCAATCTATTAAAGTTTGAATCCATATATAACCTTTAATATATATAAAATCAAATATTTTATTTTAAAAATATGAATGTTATATAAAAAACCAAACCTATTTGAAATTGTATATGGATCAATGTTATATAGGCATTCCGAAACGAAGGTGACAGAAAATCATATTTAGATTCTGACTCCTAAAACCCACTAGGTGAGCCGCCCTGACCTCAATGTGGGTTCAGGAAAGTGCAGGGCCTCACCCCAGGGCAGAGGGCAAAAGCACAGGCAGGGCCTCCTGGTGATTGGCACAGTGCTCATAGAGGGTAAAAGGGAGAAAAGCCTGTTGAATGACTCAGCTTTTTAAGATCCTGCAACATGTATCTCCTTGCTTGGTCTCCCCGAGAGCTGAAACATATACCTAGCTTTAACATGCCTGAAGGCACAGTCCCCCAGGCTTTTAGAATGAGCATGAGGTCATGTTTCCACAGGTGAAGAGAAGAACCTCTCCAACACCTGGCAGCCTGGGAGAGAATAGGATTATGCCTCAGAGTATACTGATCAGGCCAGAAGACAGAGCTACAGGTAAAAAGGCATAGTCCATCCTTAAGATGCTGAGATAGTGTATGAATTGTTCCTCACGAATTTAGCCACCATGCATTTTCCAAGAACATTAGTTTTGTATTTGTCAATATTACTTCAGTTGCAAGTGACTACATACAATTTTAACTTGCCTGGACCAATAATRTACTCATGTGTTTCAGTAAAGCAAATGGTGAAAATACCAGCAGGGGGAATGATTTGCAGATGCTGTTCCATACCAAATCAATCTTACAAACTAAGAAAAAATATAGGAATATAATTAGATATTAAGTAAATGCACAAAACTGCCCTTTAATTACCAATAAGCAGTTCAAAATAAATAAAAATAGCACTGTGCACAAATAATAAAATGCCTAGAAATATACGTTAAGAAAGAGACAAAAATGCTTATGCAACTAAAATGAAATTTTTTTACTGATGGACATTTAAAATATCTATACAGTAATGCAAGGATACCAGGAGGAGGAAGGGAGGGAGGGAGAGGAAACGAACTGGGGAATTAAATGAACAAATTATGTTTTGAGCATGTATGACTATGTAACAATAAAGCCCACTGTTCTATATAGTTATAATATAACATTTTGAAAAGTCACCTCAAAAATAAATTCAAAGTAGGCAGATTCTAATATAAGCCAATCCAATGAAACAATTTTGTGTTACCAGATACATATTCTTCCAGATGATTGGACAATGCTGATTAGTGAAAGTAATTAAATA